TTAATTCAAGTAACAATTTTCATACAAGTATAACATTTTAAAATATATTATTAACATTTTTTCTACAATATATGTTTTTGATGTACATATAAGGAACATTTGTTTTACACAAAACGAACATTTTTTATACACCTTGAACTTTTTCTAAATATATGATTAATAATTTCTTGAAACATCTACTTTTTTCTTATACATCCTAAACCTTTTTGAGACACGCAAATGTTTTTCAAAAGCCATAAGCATTATTTTTTATACTGCCATTGGAATTGAATGCCACATAACTGAACTGGTCTCTTTTATTTAAAACTAATGAATGAAAAAACAGTTGCAAGAAGAAACAAAAATTGAAAGCGAAAACCAACAAAATATGTCCATCTATTGGTTTTTTTATGCGAAGTCTATCCTATTGGTGCTAGCGACCGGACGTGCCAAAGAGCCGCCCCCTCCTAGCCATGCAAATCTAGCACGCAAACGATGCGAGCGTCCAGATCGCTATAAGCGATCCATAGTCGCTCCCCCTACTATGTCTGTTCCATTTTACCTCGTCCATCTTTCCTTCAATAGTACTCCCTCCGTTCCCAAATAATTGTCTTTCTAGCCATCTCAAATAGACTACAACATACGGATGTATGTAGACATGTTTTAGAGTGTAGATTCACTCATTTTGCTCCGTATGTAGTCACTTGTTGAAATATCTAGAAAGACAATTATTTAGGAACGGAGGGAGTAATCACCGTCATTCAATGATCAATGACTAAGGTGCGAAACAAAATTTCGATCCAAGTTCTACATGTTTCCTTTAATTGACCACTAGGTGTTGCAGAAAGGCATAAAAGTTATGTCCCACTTACTGCGAGGCATCCATCAGTCTTGCCTACAGGGATCGGCAAAGTGTGTCGGCTAACTAATTGTGGTATCGTGAACTTCTACGGAACCTTCCAGCCTGGTTTTGGTAAGGCTCCACGCATTTTGTTTTACTTTTTAAGCTTTTTTGTATCAGTCTCATCGGGTTTTCATTTGTTTTTAATTTTCATTTTTTTTCCAATTTTCAAATACATGTGGACTTTTCTTGAATACACGTCGACCATTTTGGGTATATATGTTCAACATTTTGCAAATATACATTAAATATGTTTAATACATGTTTAACATTTGTCAAATGCACATTGAACATTTTTAAACCCAGGAAAGGTAATTTGAAAACGTCATGAACATATTTGAAATGTGTGGACGTTTTCCTACATGGCATGAATAGTTTGGGAATGGCACAGCCATCTTCTATAAACCAAGAGAACATTTTTTACATCTCATGAACTTATAAAAAAAATGTAATGAACATGTTTTAAACATGTGAACATTCTTCTTGATGTTACATTTTTTAATGGTCTGCACATTTTAAAAATTGTGCAAAGAAATGTTTACATTTCCTGAACATTTTTAAAGCATGATGAACAATTTCAAAAACCTAATAATACTTTTTTCATACTTGTATATAAATATTTTAGGATATTTTGAGGTATAAAAAAAAGAAGAAATGATGAAATAGAGGTATAGTGAACAGAGAGACTGGCCATTTCGACGCTTCTTCAGAAGACGTTCACGTTGTCTCGCTGCTAGTGACATACAAACGCCTTCGAAACATAGGCAAAATCACTAATTAAGGATGCCCCATACAAAGATTGCACCACTGGCGGAGGCCTGTAGTGGGCAGGGTATGGCAGCCGCCATGCCTTGATTTTGAGCAGAAAATTTGTATACATATGTATGCTACGACTACCTCTCTAGTTGGTTTTGACCGCTGGTAGTCTTATGCTAAAGGAGAGATGGGCCGACGCATCCAGCTAGTTGGGCCAGGAATCGATAGAGCGCCCATCCACGAAGCTACACAAAAACGGGGAGCTGCAGCGGCAGTCTGCAGGGACTATGCAGGCAATTTCGTTGGAAGTTCTGTGCTCGTTATACATGGAATAACAGATGTGGTGACATGCGTAGGGAAGGACTATCTCTGGCGCAAGATTTGATGCTACAAAATGTTGTTATTGCTTCAGATTCCAAGCAGGCGGTTGAAGACATCCATCCATAGAGCAAGTTTTTTTTTTTTTTTTTTGCGGGGGATCCATAGAGCAAGTTGAGGAGATAATGACGCGATTATCACTGAAATCAGACAATGTTTACTAGCCTTTAATTGTAATATTACTTCGAAGATAGAACTGCTAATAGTGATGACATAAAAAAGCAAGTGAATAAATAATTTAACCAAGCGAGACAAAAAAAATCATAGAAAACCAAGAAAAAACCCAAAAAATAGAAAACAATCCTAGAGCATGCCACATGACATGCCGAGGCTCTTCCACGCAAGGAGTAGTGCCCCCCCGCGGTGCACCCTCCAACTAGTTGCTGTCCTGTTTTGTTTATGGGTGAGTATTGCTCCCACGACTTTGATGCTACCATGCTTTTATGTCTCGAAACTCAAATTTGGAGTTTTAGAGAAATCCAAAAAAGCCGTGGATGTTCACAAGATAAGTGTGTACAAACCATAAAAATTTCAACTCCAAATGAAAAACATAAAGTATTTGAAAAGACAATTCCAACGTGAATAAAGTCACAAGTAGACAAAAGTTGTTTCTGGAAGTTCAGGGGCTATAAACACCTATCTTATGTGTATTTCGAGTTTGAAGTTGGAATTTTTGTCTTTTTATACCTATGTGTATTTCGAGTTTGAAGTTGGAAAATTTAGGAGCTGTAAACACCTATCTTGTGAACATCCACAATAGTTTCCGGAAATTTTTTATGCGTCATAATTTAAGTTTTCTGACATTGAAGCACGATAACACCTAAGCCATGGGAGCATCAAGTATTCTCCCTTGCTGTTATGGCGAGGAGGAAACACTGGGCTAGTCCCTCTCTTTGGAAGTGATGATTCATGTGGTCGTCTCGAGATAGGTCGTTCATTCGTCACATGGCGCTAAATTCTGGTTGGAGACTAAGGTCCAGTTCTTTTGGCCGATTCTCTCAAAATATTTAGAATCGAACCTAGATTCTTTCGGAATCTTAAACCCGTATTTTCTTGACACCCTATTTATACCCTAACTAGCTAGCATGATTAAAAAATACAGGTTCAAGATTTTTAAAGAGCCTGAGGGGATGTCTAATTCTTAGGATTCTGGGAGAATTGTAAAACAAACTGGGCCTAAGTGTTTTTTTCCTTCTGAACAAAGGTTAAGTCTTTGTTTTTTTTTGTCAGGGAAGGTTACACGGTTGTTGTAGGCTAGCCCAATAACCGTCCTGCAATGTTGGACTCAAAGTGTTACAACCCAAATTGCTTATTTGGTATAAATGCGATGAACATATTTTAAATGTGTGAACACTTTTTTGAAATCACTAATTAAGGAGTACTCCTTCCAAAGATCACTCCCATCTTCCTAGGTTATGACAAGTGGAACGCTGCATGTGTGCCACTTGTCGCAACCTGGTAGTTTTCCCCTTTTTTGTAGATCCGCTTATTCAAAACGTTTTATCTCTTAAAACGTGCGTCCAAATCTTGAACCATTTTCATCGTTGGATTTCTCGCGTCGAGATCTTCAAAAGTAGATCCCATGTCGATAGATTTTGACGAACTTTTTTTCACAAAAAAAAACAAAAAAACCGGACGAAAAAACCTAACTGGGAGCATGATTTTTTTCCTTTCCGAAAGAGGCACGACTGCGCCTCTCACGAAAGTACGACCATGCCTCTCGCGGGAACAAAACGTGTCTCTCGAAAAAAAACAGAAAACGCGTCTTTTTTCGTTCCGAGAGACACGGTCGTGCCTCTTACGAAAGCAAAACCGTGCCTCTAGCGGAAAAAGAGAAACTGAAAACCCGTTTTTTTTCTGTTTCCTAGAGTCATGGTCGTGCCTCTCTGAAAAGCAAAAACGTGCCTCTCACGAAAGCAAAAATGTGCTTCTGACGATAATAATAATAATAAACACGTTTTTTCCGTTTCCGAAAGACATGGTCGTGCCTATCGCGAAAGCAAAACGTGCCTCTTGCGGAAGGAAAAAAACGCGTTCTTTCGTTCATTTTTTTTGAAAATTTGTTTTTGGTCCAAAAGCTAAGGAAGACCGGTGGAAAACCAAAACGTCAAAATAAACCAGAAATAAAACCGTTTAAAAAGCCAAAAACACGTGTGCAAAAATGAAAATATAAAATCTAGAGGAAGCGTCCAGAGCGTGACACATTGCGGGTGACTGAGAGCGCGCCAAGTGGCGCTGATCATTGTGAGACTCGTGAAGGAGCGCTCGTTGACTAGTTGGTCTCACATATTTTGAATGGCATGGAAATGTCTTGAGGTAGGCCGTTTGTTGGTCACTGAGTGGCAAAAATTTGTAAAACTAGCCATAGTGGGAAGTAACTTCGACTAGTAACATGCATATGTTACTAGTCTATTACTATCTTCATAGTGGGAAGTAACATATGTGTGGTATCATGCAACATTTCATTTATTAGGTTATAGACTCATCTTGTCTTGATATGTGTGATGTTACTCATACTATTGATAACTAGCTGTATTACCACATGACTCTCTTTCTTCATTAATTACTTGCCACATCAACTATTTTGTCTAGGTATGTGTGATGTTACCATCTACTCCGTATGATACCCCCACTATGGTAGTCTAAGGGGTTAAGTTTTTGTTGTATTTTAGCCCAATAACCGGCCTGCCATGTTGGACTCCAGGTGTTACACTTTTTTTTGAGTTAACCCAGGTGTTACACTTACAACCCACCAAATCGCTCATTTGCGGCCCAACTCTTCACTCACGGCAACGCATGACAGGCCCAACAAAAAATAACGAAAACCTAGCCCAATCTAGCATCCGGCAGAACGGCCCGAGACCCATTTATAAATACGCGGCACCTCCATCCTCCGAAACCCTAGCGCCGCACACACTCCCCCCGCCCGCCGCCGCCGCCGCACAGCCGCAGGGAGAGAAGGCAAGGAGGAGGAAGGAAGGGGAAGATGCCGGCGGGGCACGGGCTGCGGTCGCGGACGCGCGACCTGTTCGCGCGGCCCTTCCGTAAGAAGGGGTACATCCCGCTCACCACCTACCTGCGCACCTACAAGGTCGGGGAGCACGTCGACGTCAAGGTGAACGGCGCCGTCCACAAGGGCATGCCGCACAAGTTCTACCACGGCCGCACCGGCCGCGTCTGGAACGTCACCAAGCGCGCCATCGGCGTCGAGATCAACAAGCAGGTATAACTCCCCTGCCCCCTGCCCCGTCTTCTCCCTTCTTCATCTGTGGTGGTCGGGTTTCCTAGATCTGTGCTGCGAGGGCGATACTGTGATCTTGACCAACGGGATGCATAAATCTGTTCTGTTTTCGGTTTCTCGTTGTTATAACCTGCTGAAAATGAGCTAGACCATCAAGTATCTTGGTTCGTTTGGTGCGAATACAGTCCAGTAGACTAGATCAATGGTTTATTGTGCTTGATTTGTTATGCTAGCCTGCTATGTGTGCGTGTGATTTACTCTTCAGAGCAATTCTGTCCGGCTTACTGTTACTGTGTCAATTTCCTTTCATAGCTACACATTTCTGTGATGTCCCGCAGTGATTTGATGGTCTGTTATCTGATGCATCATCTTGAAAATTTATGCTTTATCTCTGTTGATTACATATGCCCTAGGCCGAGCGCTTCCCCCTTCAGCTATGGGAAGGCGTGGTATTCCACGGGAGAGGTTTTTGTGGCGCACGATTCGTGTGATGGGCATACAGCAAAATTTTCATTCTGGCTTCCCCTGACTGCATGCTTTATCTGTAGCAGTTATGAGAGCCTAATTGGATGATACACATATAAACATCTGTTTATTTATCTAGTGATACCCTAGCTTGTTTCATGTATTGTGTCTGCATATTGGAAGCATATCATAGCCTGTATGATCCAAAGTGTCTGCAATTTTGATGCATTTCATGGCTTGTTTTGTCTAATTTGTAGGCAGTTTGGATGCATTTACTATGATTTGTACACAGTAAATGTTTTATCCATTTGGTGGCATGGATTGTTAGGCCACAGTGCCACATTTTACATCACTTGATGTTGGGCACAATATTATTTCTCCATTTCCTTGTCAGTAAACTACTTGTGATGTCAATCTAAGTTAAGTGTTTGCTTGTCATGTCTTCTGCATGTAACTGTTGCGCTACACTATGTATCAGTGGTTTCATATATGTCTGTACACAGATTGTAACATGTGTTCCCTGTCATCAGGTCGGCAACAGGATCATCAAGAAGAGGATCCATGTGCGTGTGGAGCACGTGCAGCCATCCAGGTGCAACGAGGAGTTCCTCCAGAGGAAACTCAACAATGACAAGCTGAAGGCGGAGGCCAAGGCGCGTGGCGAGGTCATCAGCACGAAGAGGCAGCCAGCAGGGCCCAAGCCTGGGTTCATGGTGGAGGGCACCACCATCGAGACGGTCACCCCCATCCCGTACGACGTCGTCAACGATCTCAAGGGTGGTTACTAGAGCGCTTGTTTCCTGAGCAGAAGCTTGAGCCAGTTCTTAGTATCTATGCTTGTTCCCAATGTTTTGGTACTGAGTAGTTCTCTTTTTGCTCCGCCGAGTGTGAACTTCTCTGTGGTTAACATTAAAGATTTCCTGTGGTTGATTTCGTTCTTGACATGCTGCTGGATATATTTGCTTTTGGTTGATTGAGCAATTGTTTGTTCTACGAGTTTAATTCGAGGAGCTGCAGATTTCACGAGCGATCGATGTCCCACGTAATTCCTGTGTGAGCAAGCAGCTTCGAGATGCATACCAAGATTTAGGTTGCGAAAGCTACAGCCCCTAAGCGGATAAAATGGCTGGAACGCCGCATGGCTTTGTTGTGGTTCAGATGTTTGCATATGTACTTGGTTTTTTCTATGCCTGTTGTGGTTCAGATGTTTGCATATAGCCGATAATACTGGGTTTTTCTATGCCACTTAAATCGATATAAGCAATACTCTCTCTGTCCGAAAATACTTGTCCTTGAAATGGTTGTATGTAGACTTATTTTAGTTATAGATACATTTATTTTATTCATTTTAAGGACAAGTATTTCTGAACGAAGGGAGTATATTGCATATAAGTAGAGCGTAGCTGGCGCTCCCGTGGCCCACGCCAGCATTGCTACTTTGCCCTTCCCTCGACTGTTCCCCACCCCGACCGCCAGCCACCACCACCTGTGGCAGGTGGCGCTCCAGTGGCCCACACCAACATTGCTATCTTGCCCTTCCCTCAACCGTTCCCCACCCCGACCGCCAGCCACCACCACCTGTGGCAGGTGGCGCTCCCGTGGCCCACGCCAGCATTGCTACCTTGCC